AGATGGATCTCTACCTCCTGAATGCTAGAATTAAAGGTGTGTGCTACCACTTCCTGACCTCTATGTTTAATATAGTGGCTGGCTTTGTTCGATCCCCAGTGAAGTGTTATCGGGGTATACAATATGTCACCACATTTATCACTTGTATATAGGAGAACTACTGATTTTTTTAGTTAATCTTGTGTTCTGCTGCACTACTGAAGGTGTTTATCAGTTGTAGGAGTTGATTGAATTTTTTGGGTCACTTATGTATACTATCATATCATCTGCATATAGCTTCCTTTCCAATTTATATTCCCTTGATCTCTTTTTGTTGTCTTATTGCTTTAGATAGAACTTTGAGTACTACATTGAATAGAGTAGACAGCCTTGTCTTGTTGCTGATTTTAGTGGAATCACTTTGAGTTTCTCTCTATTTAATTTGATATTGGCTATTGGCTTGCTGTAAATTGCCTTTATGATGTTTAGATATGTTCCTTGTGTTCTGATCTCTCCAAGATTTTTATCATGAAGGGTTATTGGAGTTTGTCAAAGGGATTTTTGGTATCTAATGAGATGATCATGCAGTTTTTTTTTTCTTTCAGTTTGTTTATATGGTATATTACATTGACAGATTTTCATATGTTGAACCATCCTTGCATCTCTGGGATGAAGTCTACTTTGTCATGGTGGATAATTTCTTTGATGTGTTCTTGGATTCTGTTTGCCAGTATTTTATTGAGTATTTTTGCATCAATTTTCATGAGGGAGATTCTTTTTCTTTGTCGCATCTTTGTGTGGTTTGGGAATCAGAGTATCTATAGCCTCATAAAAGGAGTTTGGTAATGTTCCTTCTGTTTCTATTATGTGGAACAATTTGAAGAGTATTGATATTAGCTCTTCTTTGAAATTCTGGTAGAATTCTGCACTGAAACCCTCTTGTCCTGGGCTTTTATTAGTTGGAAGACTTTTAATGACTATTTCTATTTCCTTGGGGGCTATAGGTTTATTTAAATTGTTAATTTGGTCTTGATTTAATTTTGGTATGTGTTACCTATCCAGAAAATTGTCCATTTCTTTCAGATTTTCCAATTTTGTGGTGTACAGGTTTTTGAAGTATGTCTGTTATGTCTCCCTTTTCATTTCTGATTTTGCTAATTTGGATGTTCTCTCTCTGCCTTTTGGTTAGTTTGGATAAGGGTTTGTCTATCTTGTTGATTTTTGCAAAGAACAAATTCTTTGTTTCATTGATTCTTTGCATTGTTTTCTTTGTTTCTATTTTATTGATTTCCTCCCTCAATTTGATTATTTCCTGGCATGTATTCCTCCTGGATGAGTTTGCTTCTTTTTCTTCTAGAGCTTTCAGGTGTGCTGTTAAGTCACTAGTGTGAGATTTCTCCAACTTCTTTATGTCAGCATTTAGTGCTGTGAATTTTCCTTTTAGCACTGCTTTCATAGTATCCCATAAGTTTGGGTTTGTTGTACATTTATTTTCATTGAATTCTAGGAAGTCTTTAATTTCTTTCTTTATTTCTTCCTTGACTCATCGGTGATTCAGCTCAGCATTATTCAGTTTCCATGCGATTGTAGGCTTTCTGTAATTTCTGTTGTTATTGAACTCTAACTTTAAGCCATGGTGGTCCAATAAAACACAGGAGGCTATTGCAATGTTTTTGTATCTGTTGAAATTTGCTTTGTGTTCGAGTATGTGTTCAATTTTAAAAAAGGTTCCATGGTGTGCTGAGAAGAAGGTATATTCTTTTGAGTTAGGGTGGAATGTTCTGTAGATACTTATTAAGTCCATTTGAGTCGTAACATCTGTTAGATCCCTTATTTCTCTGTTAAGTTTCTGTCTGGCAGATCTGTCCATTGGTGAGAGTGGGATGTTGAAGTCTCTCACTATTAATGTGTGGGGTTTGATGTGTGATTTAAGCTTTAGTAGTATTTCTTTTACATATCTGGGTGCCCTTGTATTTGGGGCATAAATAAAAATTGAGACTTCATCTTGGTGAATTTTTCCTTTGATGAATATGAAGTGTCCTTCTCCATCTCTTTTGATTAATTTTATTTGGAAGTCTATTTTGTTAGATATAGTATATCTACACCAGCTTGCTTCTTAAGTCCATTTGATTGGAAAGTCCTTTCCCAGCCTTTTACTCTAAGATAGTGTCTGTCTTTGAAGCTGAGGTATGTTTCTTGCATGCAGCAGAAGGATGGATCCAGTTTTTGTATCCATTCTGTTTGCCTGTGTCTTTTTATAGGTGAATTGAGTCCATTGATATTAAAGGATATTAATGACCAGTAGTTGTTAATTCCTGTTATCTTTTGGTGGTAGTGTGTGTGTATTTCCCTTCTTTGGGATTTGCTGCTATGCAGTTATCTATTGCCTGTGTTTTTGTGATAGTATATGACTTCCTTAGGTTGGAATTTTCCTTCTAGTGCTTTCTGTAGGGCTAGATTTGTGGATAGGCATTGTTTAAGTCTGGTTTTGTCTTGGAATAGCTTGTGTACTTTGTCTACAGTGATTGAGAGTTTTCTTGGTTATAGTAGTCTGGGCTGGCATCTGGGGTCTCTTAGTGTCTGTATTATGTCTTTTCAGGACCTTCTAGGTTTCAGAGTCTCCATTGAGAAGTTGGGTGTTATTCTGATGAGTCTGCCTTTGTAAGTCACTTGGCCTTGTGCCTTTGCTGTTCTTAATATTACTTCTTTATTCTGTATGTTTAGTGGTTTAATTATTATGTGGTAAGGGGACATTTTTGGGGGGTCTTGTCTATTTGGTGTTCTATAAGCGTCTTATATCTTCATAGGTATTTCCTTCTTTAAGTTGGGAAAGTTTTCTTCTATGACTTTGTTGAATATATTTTCTGTGCCTTTGAGCTGGTGTTCTCCTTCTAACCCTATTATTCTTAGGTTTGACCTTTTCATGGTGTCCCAGATTTCCTGGATGTTTTGTGTTATGACTTTTTTGGCTTTAGTGTTTCTTTGACTGATGAATCTATTTCCTCTATTGCATCCTCCACACCAGAGATTCTCTCTTCCATCGCTTGCAATCTGTTGGTTATGCTTGCATCTGTAGTTCCTATTTGTTTACTCAGATTTTTTATTTCCAGAATTCCCTCAGTTTGTATCCTCTTCATTGTTTCTATTTCAATTTTCAGGTCTTGAACTGTTTCCTTCACCTGCCTTTTCTTCATTTTTTTGGCTTTCTTTAAGGAATTTATTGATTTCTTCTTTTTTTGTGTGTTTTTCATCAATTTCTTTAAGGGAATTTTTCATTTCCTCTTTAAAACCTCTATCATCTTCATCAAGTTATTTTTAAGGTATCTTTCTTCTGCTTCTTCTATGTTGTGATGTTTAGGTCTTGCTGTTGTAGAATCACTAGGTTCTCGTGGTGCTGTATTGCTCTTTGTGTTGTTGTATGTATTTTTCCACTGGTGTCTATCCATCTGTTCCTCCAATTGTTGCAAGTGGTGTCTGTGTCTGAAGGAACTGCTCTTGGTCCAATCTGTGCTTGCTGTGTTTGTGTCTCAGGGGCCCACTCTTGGTCCAATCAGAGCTCTTGGTCTAATTGGAGCTGGCAGATTCTGTGTCTCAGGGAGGCCATGAGATTGTAGGGTAGTGAGTAGGTTTGGGGTAGGTAGTGGGTCTTGTAGACTGCAGGGTCTAATGGGGGGTGTTAGTGGGGAAGCCTGTCTGCAAGAGTCTTCCCTGATGGCCTGAAACTGAGGCAGCAATGGGTGGGGGTTTGGGACGTTATTCATTTAATCAATCAGAATTCTTCTCCATATGGGGATATATTTTATGGATTTGTCTTTTGCTTAAACCTTCCTTGAAAAATGTTTAATGTACCCACACTGTCTCTGAAATGTACTGATATGACTTAAAAATATTAGTTTTGATGTGGAATGTTTAATGTTTAAAATGTGAAAAAAACAGTTTAGAGATAATAAGTAAGTACAATTTCATTGGCTATTAACCTCATATCTTATATGTCTTTTAAAGTATAGAGTTCATAAAACAATGCTTGTCTTCTTTACATAATCATTATTTATCATTGGTATAATTTGATAATTTAAGAAAGTCTACGCTATGCAGCTAGGCTTTGATTTCTTTTTTTATGTTGTGAACCCTTTGTAAAGGAGTCAGCCTTATCCTTGATTAACTCTTTATGGGGAAATGCATTGTTATTCAAGATCCATTATACTGTGTCACCCAGCATTTTTTTTTCATTCTGGGGATCTTATCTGTTTACTTAAGCCTTTCAATATTTTGGAAAAAATTTTAACTCTAGAAAGATGAGAGACAATATTCATGATGCCATAAGGAGACTTCAGGTCTTAGTTTACATATTTTTTTGCAGAGTTATGTAGTTAACTAAACCAAAGTCCCCTGTGATGTGATAGATCAAACAAGTGATTAAGGGAAATAGAATAGAGACAGGAGAGGTTATCTTTAAATTTTTTTATTTTTAGTTTATTTTATGGGTATGAGTGTTTTGCCTACATGTATGTCTGTGAAATGTGTGTATGCCTGGTGCCCACAAAAGCCAGAAGAGAGTGTCAGAACCCCAGAAACTAAAGTTATAGATAGATGTGAGCCACCCTGTGGGTACTTGGGATTGAACACAAGTCCTTTGGACAACCTTATGCCATCTCTCTAGCTTCATGGGAAAGTATTTTAAACTTTTATATTACAAGAGGTAACTGAGGCTCAGGGAAGTTCTACAACTCACCCAGTCATTCAGGAAGCCAAGGACAGAGATGCAGCAGAAACTTCATTTTTCTGGTGATTGACCTAGAGGAGCTTTGTTCTGCCTTTTGCTCTTTCTTGGGAGAATTCTGTTATGTTCAGAAGAAACATATATTGGGAATGAATCTTTTTGACCTTGATCAGCTTTGAAATATCAAGCAACTGGCTGGATACTAGAGAAGCTAAGTCATTTTAAATCTTTCTAAACCTCTTCTTTCCCTTTGTTTTCTATCCTTTGTTGGTCCCCTCCCTCTGTATTGTGGATCTCATAGGTCTCTCCAAGCTGCTGTCTAGTCTAAGAAGATGATAATCACACAAATGTGGCATTTCTATGTGACCAGATTTGGACTTCTTTTCCTGATTAGTATTCTCCCTGGAACCACTGGCCAAGGGGAATCAAGACGGCAAGAACCTGGGGACTTTGTGAAGCAAGATATTGGCGGGTAAGAAAACTTAATCCTTGAAAGAAAATATGAATATTATGAATGCTACCTCCCAATTTACCTCCAGAGGGCCTAGATTACCCTGATCTCTGGTACTTATACATTACATTGCATTTGGAAAACAAATCATCAGTTCAGGCTGTTATTGTTACTGTCAAAAGAAATTTTGAAGGTCCTCTTGGACAACTCTCTACATCTCTCTAAAGACCATATTGTGATGTCATAAAAGCAAGTCTCTCCAGTCTTTTATTATTAATTTTACCTATCATATCAAAGTGTTACATTTTATTTTCTATTTTTGATGTCTTTTATATCTATATCCACCTTTCTTTTTGACACATCCGTTTAGGTATTCCACAAACACCTCAAACTAAGGATGATTAAAGTATCTCCTCCACCTCTCACTCTTTTCTGAAGAGTAAACACAACAAAACACTCCTCTTCCTTTTCCTTTTTCATATTTGAGTTCATAATATTATCATGTACCCAATTGTTTAAGGCAGAAAATTGTAGTCATTTTTGCCAATTTCCTACCTTTCTTCTCCAAATTGAAGCAGTTACCAAAATCTGCCAATTTTACCCTCCATGTCTCTTAGATTATTTTATTTTCCTTCTACTAGCCCAGTTTACTTCAATGCTGTTTTCCACTTGGACTCTAACAAAAGCTTTTAGTTAGCTTACTGCCTAAAATATTGATTCCATTCATCTCTATTCCTTATCTGTTTCCTTCAATAATGCACACTAAATTATATATTTAAAAATTTAATGCCATTTTCTTGTCTTGAGAGTAAAACCAGAACTCAAACATGATGTTATAGGGCCTTTACTCACCTTGTTAACCTTATATCTTAGTCCTCCTACCCCAAAACTGTTTTTCAACATTCTTTACTTTCTTTTTTCAGGTTTATTAATTTATTATTAGTGATATAAAACATGTTTGTTTCATTTTAATTTTAAAATATTTTAATTAAAATATAATTAAATCACTTTCTCCTGTCCAGCTTCTCCCAAGTCCCCTCACCGTAACTTCTTCCACATCACTCCTCTCAAATTGATAGCCCATTCTTCCCTATTGTTGTTTATATGTACGTGTGTGTGTGTGTGTGTGTACAAGTACATAAATATAACCTGCTTAGTCCATTTTTATTGTTTGTTTGTACATGCTTTCAGGACTGACCACTTTATGTTGGACAACCGATTAGAGGGATCATTCGTAGGAGAGGTTAATTCTTCCTCTATCAGCAATCTTCAGTTGCCTGTAGTTCTTTGTCCAGGAATATGGCCCCCTGAGATTCTCCTCTCCTTCTACATTATCATGTCCATTAATATTGCTATTTTAGTCTTGTTTATATTACCATTTTTAGGATAGACTGTTTCACAACAGACTTCCTAGTATTCTGGATCTTACAATCTTATCATCCCTTTTATTTGATATTCCCTCAGACATACCAAACTGCTGTGGATGACTAATTGATAAGTAAAGTGCTGATTGACCAGTAGCCAGGCAGGAAGTATAGGTGCGACAAGGAGAGAGGAGAATTCTGGGAAGTGGAAGTCTGAGTCAGAGACACTGCCAGCCACCATGATGAAAAGCATGATGTAAGATACCAGTAAGCCATGAGCCACGTGACAAGGTATAGATTTATAGAAAATGGTTAATTTAAGATATAAGAACTAGATAGCAAGAAGCCTGAGCCATTAGGCCAAACATTTTAAATAATATAAGCGTCTCTGTGTGTTTACTTGGCTGTGAGAATGGTGGGTGAGAGAAATTTGTTCTGACCATGGGCCAGGCAGGACGAGGAAAACTTCAACTACACCAAACTCTTATCTCATCTGTAAACTATCACTGTTAGAAATGACTCCTTAGGCTTGGAATACTTTAGTATTATCATAATATTATTTTATTGGAAACGATTAAATAACCTTCTTTTGGGTTTTCATTTGTTTTGTTTTTTACTTTACATTTTTGTTAGCATATATTTAAAGAAATTATGACATTCTCATTCATTGTATTTAATGTGTTTTGTTTATACTCATCCCATTGTCCTCCCTTGCCCCTTTCTATCTCTTTTTACCAATTCCTTTCCTCTTCATGAATGGAATCTCTTCTGCTTTCATGAATCTTTTTAAATTCTAGATCCCATACATAAAAGAAAACAGCTAGTATTTATCTTTCTGATTCTAAGTTATAGCTATTTTATTCCTTGGTATTGCCCCTCTATTTTTATTTTTTTACATTTGACTATTTGTCCAATATTCTTGGAAATGGAATTTGCTCCTCATTACTTTTGTGAGGATGGTTATTTTAATATATTCTGTTTCTTTCTATCTTTTATCAGCATTTTACAGTAATCTCTGGGTTTGAGGGACACAAGACTGGACTTGTATTCTTAGAATTTTTACATATTTATGGTCCCAATATGGAAAATTAAACCATTTCTGTCTTATTAATTCCTTTAGTCTGATTTCCCTGGACTAAGATAGGTGTTCTAAATAAGGTAGAGATTTTAAATGAATAAAACTCACCTCTTTGAGTCTTGAAGCTTTTACACTTTCACTTGTAGGATCAAGTTTCTAAAAATGTATTACATGTTTTCCTATCATCTTAAAGACTTTGAACAGAGTAGTTCCTTTTCTTGGTTAATTTTTGTTCTAAGAAAGAGCATTTATTATATTTCTCCCACAGCTGCTTCTTATTTTTATCCTCAATGTTGTCACCTTTCCTGTTTATATTGTTTTCTAACATCCTGCTTGAGCTTAGAAAAACAGATATTCAAGCATCTTAGCAATTATGTCAAACAAGAGGAAAATAAATCCTTTCTGAAACAGCAGAGTAAAGTGTTTTGTTTTACAGCAAGGGCAAAATGATTATATATCTCTTGAATTAGATACCTCTTCTTGTTTATGCTCTTTCAAGTTAAAAATAACTCATGGCTTGTATGGATGAGACTACCAAAGACTTGGGTCTGGATATTAAGTTTGACACTCTTTATATTTAGTAGAAATAAATGAACTAACTCAACTTAAGATATATGGTGTATATTGAGAGTTCTCATTCTTAAAAGAGCTATTGTTTCCTTTTGTTTGTTTTCATATCTTCTTACTTATATGTTTGAAAAAATCCATTTGCTATATTACTTTGTCATTTATTTTATTACATCTCCTGTGCTTGATCTTCTAGCAGCTTTGGTTGTCAACAATGGCCTATTCACTAGTTCTTAATTTCAATCATATGTTAGTACCAATAATTCTCAGTGTTTGGTGTTTGCAAGCCAGAATTTGGGCTGGCTTTGCAGAAGGTTGTAATGCCAAAACTTGGAGGAAACCTCCCAGCAATTTGTATTCAACCAGATGCTCCAGATCATTCTAATGTAAAGAATACTTTGGGAAGACAGTTAATGTTTTCTAGGAACTAACAGTATAGTCAGAAATACCAGATCCTGGAGCTTTAGTAGGGCAGTTGTTGAAAAACACACATATAATATCTAATTTAATCTTAAATTTTATACTTAAATTAACTGAGGCTAAGAAAGAAAAAAAAATATTTTCCTAAGACTTCATAGTAAGTTATTAGAAAAGTCAGATCTAGAGCATAGTTCTCTGATACTTTATTATACAGCAATTTCTTCTGAGGTAAAACCTTTCATCTTTGAAGGAAGTTTGTTATAAAATACAGTATGAAAAGAAAGGTAAAGCAAGAGGATGTTCTAAAAAGAGGTAAAACCATTTATACTGCAGAGAAGTTCATTAAGGTCAGGATGCAAACAATGTAATAGCTTCAAGAAGTCTCTGAAACTGACTAGATTCATTAGGTCTCTCCCTCCCTTAGTGTATATAAATAAGCTCTAAAGACTGCTTAGAGACACTCTCAGACAAGATGAGATGTCTGGAAGAAGCAGAGACCAGCTGAGCTGACCAGAAAAGGCTTATGCCAACTGAGGTACCTGGAAAGGACACTATCCAACCTGTTGAGTTACCTGAAGGTTGAGTAGTGCACTCCAAGTTTCCAGCTTTTGTGAACTGTCACCCATGCTGGGATGGGCTTTTGGTGATGCCATTGTGTAAGTAACTCCCATAAAACTCATTAGTTCACCAAGTTACACTTGGGTAATATTCATACTTTGGTCTGTTGTCAGTTCCTATCTGAAGTCAGTAGATGTTTATTCATGCCTCCCTGGAATAGTTTCACACAACATTCCTACTACTACATTTTTGAGGCAAAGCTACAGAAAAAAGTTCAGATTCAAGTAACAAATACAGTTTACTACTTCTATTTTCTGATTTAATATTCTGGCCATCAATAAATTAGAACTGTATATGTAAATAATGTTAAGTTTAACTATCATGTAAGTAAACTTTTCTGGATAAAAATGATCATCTATTAGTAGTTCAGTAAAGGTTCAACAGGCACATTCCCAACTAGTAAGTGAGTACCAAATGAATGTTATATCAAGGTTTTTCAGTTTGCTGAGTCAGTACAGGTCCCAAATGATACAAATGAGGCACTTCATTTGAGACTATTTGAACAGAGTGAATTTGCAAAATGACTCACTGTGGTGTAGGTATAAGGAAGCCACAAGGAATAGATGAAGAACTCAAAACAAGCAGATGATAGATCATGGAAAGCATGTTTTCTTAGGAGGTATGGAGATCTTTAGTTGAGGGAAGGAAGGAACCTAAGGAAATTTGGAAACTCAGTAATTGTAAGCCTTAATTTACCTTTCTTTATGCAACATTTTACCATGGTGGACAAACTAAGTTGAACTTAGGGAACCAAGGAGCCTTATTAATATAGTTACCACATGCCAGAATTCTGGGAAGAGAAAAAAAATGTATCTGGTTCTGGGTATTGTGGCACATGCCTATAATTTCAGCACTTAGTAGGTGGGAGCAGAAAAATCAGAAGTTGTATATATGGCCTGGGATATATAAGACCCTTTCTCAAAAATTGTATCCAGGAGGGTAAATGAAAAACACTGGGGACAAAATCATAGTTG